ACTAGATTGGTCAGGCACGATCTGCCTGCCACGAACCCGTGCTGGTTTCCCCTCATAATTTGTCCTGCCGGGCTCTCGCAAATGTGAGCCTTGATAATTTTTTCAAAGGCTTTGCCAAGGATGGAGGTGAGACTGACTGGCCTATAGTTGCCTGGGTCCTCCTTCCTCCCCTTTTTTGAAAATGGGGACCACGTTGGCCCTTTTCCAGTCCCCCAGGACTTGGCCCGTGCGCCACGAGCGTTCAAATATTCCCGCCAGTGGCTCTGCAATGATGTCGGCCAGTGCTTTCAGGACCCTCGGATGGAGCTCATCCGGGCCTGCTGACTTAAAGGCATCCAGTTCTTCCAAGTGACTCTGCACCATCTCAGGGTCTACGCATGGTAGTCTGGCACCTTGTGATGTGATGTGATGTGATCTTTACCCCTGGGGTGAATTGGCCCTGGATGATTGCTCAGCAGGCCAGTGGGACTTCCTTAGTTTCAAAGTCTGGCAGCTCCTAACCCGGAGGATGCCGACACTTGCGGGGGTTCACTGTCCCACACAGGTCGCACCTGGAGCATGACCTCCCTTTGGGAGTGAGGGGGTTAAATGCAAACACCCTTCAGGAGCCAGCCCCAGGATGGAGCAGCAGGTGTGTGCTAGATCCCCAGGATGGAGCAGCAGGGTGTGGGGGTGGAGGAAGGGAGCTGGTTCGGCAGGTTAGGAGCTCAAGTGCGGCAGAAGAAACAGGCTGCCTGTGGGAAGCATGGGGTGCGGCAGACCTCTGGCCCCATGTTGGGAAAGTCCGGATTTTGAGAACACCAGAGACCTCTACCACAAGGGAAGAGCTGCAGCTACCAGAGTTGGGGGGGGGGGCATGGTGGTCACTGAAGGTGGAGGAAAGCCCTCTCGTGTGGCACGGGCAGTCAGCTGCAGTGGGGAGAGGCTCTGGCTCATGGCAGCTTGTTCTCCTCCGGAGGCTGCTGAGAGAGCCCCGTCGGAGGCTTTGGGCAGGACCTCTGGCGAGGCTGGGAGCATTGGGCAGGGCTGAATCTCAGCCTGATTGCCTTCACCCTCTGTCCTGCTCTGCCTCGACCTCTCCAGCTGGCTCCAAGGCTGCATCAGAGGCTGGAGTAAGAGGTTTTAGAGGGTGTGAAGGTGCCATCAGGGAAAGGACAAGGGCTTGAATAAGCACATCACCTGCCAAGTTTAAGCCCAGTTTATGGAAATGGGAGTCTCCTCCCTTGCTTGCCCCTGCACCTTATGGCTAAGGGCAAGCAAAACTCGGGGGCATCTGAACCCCAAGCCTCCAGTAGGATGCAAGTAGGACGCCCGCCAAAGTTTTTGGAAACACCTGAAGCCCTAGGTGTGGGTAGATGTTTGCCCATAGTAGGGCCACTTATGGTCCTGGACTCTTGGATCTGGAATTTATTTTGGCTAATTTGGCCTTGGATACAAATTAGCCAAAATAAATTCCAAATCCAAGAGTTGAGTGTCCCCTCCATTACCCAGCCCAGACTCAGCTTCAGAAAAAGCAGCTTATAATGGGGACAGCCTGGTTTTTCATAGGCACTGAGGCTCTTCCAGCTCCCATTAACTCAGAGGAGACTATGAGCGCTCAGCACCAGGGAGAACTTGTCGCTTCATGTTGACAAACCCCAGTTTGCTTCAAACTAATGAGCTTGGGTATTGCTAGCAGAGTAGCTAGTAGCAGAGCTCAGCGTCGACTGCAAAACCCGCTCAGGACCTAGGCATGGTGCTGCTAGCAAACCGTGAACTGGGTCGTTTCAAGCTGAGCTAGACGGAGGCAAAGAGACCGAACGGGGGAGATGCCAGCAAAAGCAGTAGCAGAACACGTAGAAACATGGGGCCAATAATGGATTTTTCAGCTTAAATCAAAGGGCCAAGAAACCCGAGGGAAGCAACCGCGGAGCCCTCCAGTCCCTTTGTCCGTTGTGAAGCAGCGATTTTCCTCTTCGCCAGCATCAGGGTGTTTCGTGGAGGAGGTCATGGGGAAGGATTTCCTGTAGGTCAGAGGTGAAACCCCGCCTGGCCTCTCAGGGTTTCAGCGTACAGCATGGATTTACAATTAAAACAAAACAGCCCACTCTTTGCGGGAGTTAAGGTATTACAGTGCAAGGGAGAACCTAGCAACAGTGGAAGCTGCATTTGATTTAAAGAACCACATCTGTATTGCACCACAATGCCATAGAAACTCTATGGGGGAACGAGCCCAGATGAAACGGCCCTTCCTAACGCTGCTCCGTGCCCCAGCGTGACCGGCTCTGGGGAGGCCGAATGCAAGGCAATGTAGTGATGCAAAGTCAGGGAAAAGAAAAGGAAAAAAAAGGAGATACATGAAGACTGAGGTGGTTGAATTTTTTTGAACTGGAGTAAGAGTCAGATTCTCCCTACCCCTCTTTTTATTTCCACCATAAATACAAATGCAGTCCTCTAAAAGCAAATGCATTTATAATAAGAAACATTGGAGAAAGAGACCCACTGCTCTGTTGTTGACTACTTGTGTTTGCTCAAAGAAAATGGAGACAATCGGAAGGAGCACATTTATTTCCTCAAAGGCAACTTTTAAACAGGTCCTTGGGGGCTTCTCCGAAACTCGCTGGTGATCCCTGGTGGAAATCCATCTTCTGTCAGGGACGGGAAAAAGGGTCAGTTGATTTGTGCGGGACATGAGGCCCGGATGGGAGAATCATAGAAAATGAGGGCTGGAAGAGACCTCAGGAGGTCACATCTAGTCCAACCCCCTGCTCAAAGCAGGACCAGCCCCAACTAGATCATCCCAGCCAGGGCCGTGTCTAGCTGGGTCTTGACAACCTCCAAGGATGGAGAGTCTACCACCTGTCTGGGTAACCTGTTCCAGTGCTTCACCACCCTCCTAATGAGAAAGTTTTTCCTAATATTTTATTTAAATCTCCCTTGCTGCTACTGGAGCCCATTGCTCCTTGTCCTGCCATCGGCCCCCACTGAGAACAGCCCAGCTCCATCCTCATTGCAACTCCCTGCAGGGAGGTGAAGCCGAGCAGCAAGGACAATTCTGCTGCTGCTTGAAGGCACCTTGCAAAGAGGAGAATGGGTTTGTGCATGTACCAGTTGGGAAGGGGAAAAAAAATTCACCAGAAGCCTTTATTTTATTGCTTTTACTCTCAGTTGCGTGAAGGGATCTTGCTGCCGCTTTGGCTGTGCATACTTATGTCCAGGAGAATACCCACAGGCTCTCCTCACCCAGTACAGAGGTAATGAGGGTCCTTCATCCGTTCTTCTCCCAGCTGCCAATGCAATTGGTGCATCTGAGGCAGGCTGTGGGCAAGTTGGGGGTCAGGGAAATGGTGGTAAAATGTGGCACCATGGCTAATTTCTGCTTCCAAACCCCTGAGATGGCT